GTGGTTCAAGCTCACCAGCTGCTCCTTGGAAACCCTATGCAGGGTCACTATGGGTCACAATTGACTCGACGACACTTAATAACAACAACCACCCACTAGTTAGTGATTTACCCTCCTAACTCTTCCAATTCCTGTTAGCCATCAAAGAATGTTTCTTTCTGTATGAGAACCTATTCTTGACTTTTTGTAATAATGGTCTCATTTTTGTCCTTTTGTGATTGACTAATTTCACTCAGCCTAGTGTCCTACAGGTCTATCCATGTTATGAGGTGTTTTGCAGATTCGTTATTCTTTAGTATTCCACTGATAAGCATTTGTTTTCATCTTTTAGCTGTTGTGATTTTGTGCTGCGATAAACAGAGTGCACATGAAAGACTAGGAATTTCTTACAAACCTAGCCCTTCACTGTGGTGTTCTTTCTCTACAGTGGCATTATCCCCTTACCTGGTGTGACAGGATTTGTCATATAGGCTGGCAAATATTTTTGAAACTGTATAAAGACTGCGTTATTTCTTCTGTTTCAGGATGTTAGAAATGCTGATGATGGCTTGCATTTCCATTTCCTAGGCTGGAGGCCTAGTGTTGCATCTATATTATCAGTGTTGGTAATACAAGTGGGTGGTAGGAAGTCCTGTTGTGGTGCTGTAGGACAAGCACCGAACTGCTAACTGAAAGGTTAAACCCATCAGCTGCTTCTCAGGAACCCTGTACAAGTCCCTATGAGTCAAAACTGAGTCAATGGCACTTAACAACAGTGAAGGTAACCATTAAGTGTTTCCCCACCTGCCTGATGAAAGTCACAACTGTACAGGAGCAGAGAGACTGCCTTGTCAGACCCCTATAAAGGGGTTTTCCCTCCAAGAGCATTCCAGGGAAATAGCCCTTCCTGGGACTTGTGAGCAAGAAAACAGCAAAACCCTATTTAATGAATGTCACTGCAGCATGGTGTGTGTTTGTAGGGAGGGTCACTTCATTTTCACCAGTTCCACTTATTGGAAGTGGGAAAAGAGAACTAACATATATCAAGTATATAGTGTGTAGGATTCTCTTGAGGCCCGCTGGCTGAGCAGATTGAATGTATTGACTGGACAAAGAAAGATCATCATTTCACTTTTCCAAAAATCAGTTTCTGCTGGACTCATCAACTCACTCCTGGAACCATGCAAGTTGGGTCTTGCTGTAATGTCCTTTCCACGTAAATATACGTGTGTGTCTGGGTAAGAGTGCTGTGGATTGCAAGAGTGAATCTGTGTAGTTGTCACTCATCTTTAAACTTGAGAATGGTAGACTGTTGAGAGTCAGTTCCCTCCCTGCTTTTAAACACCTGTGAATCTGTCATTTGCTTCCAAAGCATTTCCTCTTTGGGCTACTTGTTTTAACTCATGTTTACTGCCTCCAGGCAAAAAAATGTCATAATATAAGGGAAAGTTTCAATTTATGTGTGTTTTACAGAGTGCAACTCTAAAGTCATGTGGTGTATTTGCTTCATTAAAGTGCTCCTGTAGACCCAGGTGGCGCAGTGGTTAAGTTCTCAGATGCTAATTGAAAGGTCAGCAGTTCAAAGCCACGAGCTGTACCTTTGGAGAAAGATGTGCATGTCTGCTCCCATAAAGATGACAGCCTTGGACATCCTATGAGACAGTTCTGCTCTAACTTACAGGGTTGCTATGAATTAGAATTGATTCCATGGCAACGGGTTTGGTTTGTTGTTTGGTTTTTTTTGTTTTATTTTCTAGATCCAGAGCCTCAGCTTAAGCCAACAAGTGGTTCTCTCCATAATAGAACTAAAAACAGGCCTAGTAATCATTTGCCAATAGCATCAACTTTGGTTCACATCGCTTCCATTGCCTAAGCTTCCTCTCAGAAGACATTGGCTTTGTTGTCTTCACAGTTTGATGGGTTGCACCAGTTTGAAGCAGATAGTACAGCTATAACTAGCTTCACCTGGTTGCTGACAACTCCTTCTCTGCCTTTAGGAACTCGAGCAGGGGTATACTAGAAGCAGCTGATGCTGCTTGCTGGAGAGGTAGCAGATAGGGGCTGCCCTGCAAGGAAAATAACTAGTTAATTTAGTTGCCTCCCTTTTGATTGCTGAGTCATTTTTCCCTTTCCTTCTCCCTCCTGGTTAGTTTTTCTGCATATTCTGGAAGTCAGAAACCAAAAAACCTGTTCATATTAGTGCATCTAGAATGTCTGCACATGGTGATATGAATTAACCTATACTAGTAAAGATTTACACCCTCGGAAACCCTGTACAGGGTCGCTATGGGTCGGACCCGACTCAATGGCACTTAACAACAACAACAACATACTAGGAAAGAGAGTTTTTTTGTTTTGTTTTTTGCTTTGCTTTGTCTCCTTGTGTAGATCACCCATTTAGCCAACATTTCCCTGAGTTGGTTCATTTATTATCAGGGAGAAAGGGTAATTTTTCACAGACTTGATTGCATAAATGGGAATGTACAAGTAGTCTCTGGCACACAGTGGGAATCAGGTCTGTAAGAAATGGAATCACGGGGTGTATTTATACTCTTAGGAAAAACCTTCCCAGGAAGCTGGCAGCCATTGAAAAATGAAATAGTTCTATTGCTCCTTTCAGCAGAGGGGTAATGATAACATCTGGGGTTGAATTTAGTGGAATCCTAAATTGGTATTCCCTGATAGCCAAGGCTAATTTTGTTTTCTGGCACTGAGAAAAGGAGGAAATAGCTCTAATTAGGTATCCTTTTAGCCAAATTTATAACATCATCAAAGACTCAGAACTGTATTAAGCTGGAAGAAATGTCCACTGCCTCTTATACAACCTAAGATTTTAAGAAATTTTCAATCATGCAGAAAGAATACACACTTCCTTCTAAAGTCTTGACAGTTTGGGGGGAAAGATAAACGACATGATTAAAATGGGAGAACTAATAATAACCCATGACTTCACAGCAAACACTGAATCTGTAGGATCTTTTTATCCACTTATTCCTAGATGCTTTACTAAACCAGGGTTCTCAAATTAGGTTCTTGGTAAACAATCTGGTGAATTAGATACAACTGTTCACAGCTAAATTAAATGGCAGCACCGTTTTCTCCCGAAATTGTATCATGGAGGAAAGTTTTAATGACTAGCATATTCTCTGTTTCAAAATTTGCTCCCATAAATGTTTTTACAATTTTACTGTCAATTGATACTTAATCTGAATGGACAAGTAGCAAGCAATTATTGTAAATTTTAGAGTAGTTGGCATAGATAATGACTGTCAGTTTTATGTTTTGTGGACCCATTATGTTGTTGTTTTTTTTTTAATGTGGCTGCGTCTTATAACATGCAACCATAGATGCCTTTATCATCATTCCTAGTTCAAATAAAGATGTTGAATGTTTTTCTACATTTTATGGTGTTCATATGATCTGAAGTAGAAAAAGAAATCCCAAAATCAGAGTGAAAAGTAAATACAGGTTACAAGTGGAGAGGAAGAATGGGTGGTTGTAATTCAAACAGACTATTTGCTACATTTAACTATGACTTTAAAGATAAATCAAGTTAAGTAACTCCTCCTTCCATGTGTATTCACACAGAAGGCAGTAGAATGTGGTAAGTAAGAGCTTGGACTCTGAAGCCAGCTTTATCTTATAAATAAATATTTTATAAATATGAATATATTTATAAATGTAAGTATTTTATAAATAAATAAATAATGTTTTATTTTATTTGAATCCTGGATTCACTGCTCCCAAGTTGTATGAAGGGGCTTCAAAAAGTTGATGGAAAAAATCCATTATTTTTTTATTCCATTTTTTAACACGAACTTTATCTGTAAAATTGAAGTAGTTCCTACCTCATAGGACATCTAGGAAAATTAAGTGAGTTACTTCATGGTGAACAGTGCTACTCTAGTGCATATGAGGTCACCATGTGTCAGAACTGACTAGATGGCAGCTGGTTCTGGTCTCTATGGAAGATGTGATTCATGTAACCATCAATGAGGGGAGTCTAGTGTCATCTCATTTATCCAAACCTGTTTGTCCTGACTTCTTCTTATCAAACCCAAATTGTTCACACTACATAGAGTTGTTCCCAGTGGGCTTGCTCTTGTTTATTGTAGCTTGGGTGAAACTTTACAGAGTAAATTAGTGTTTTGTTCCATAGTTAATAGAGACTACTTTCCCTTCCCCTTCACACCCCTCACACTCTCAGAGGGAGAGACAAAATACCTACATGAGGATCTTAACAGGTCTTCACAGATGTCTGTGTGCATATGTGTGAGTATCTGGATGAAATCAAAATCCAAGTTTTTATAGGTTTTTGATTGTTTGTTTATTTATTTGTATGTTAAAGCAGCTGGTAGCATGGGAAATGGTACACAAGAACAATTTGAAGTTTAAGATACTTTTATTTAATCTTTCGTTTAACAGCTTGGGAAGGTGGATAAGATAAGCCCATTCACATTTGAAGATTTGTGGGGTTGTTTGCTGTTTTGAAATTTTTCTGTTAAAATTTTTTTTCCCTTAAATTATCTTCTTACTTTCTGCATTCTGCTTTTTTATTGTACTAATTTTCATGTTTTCTTTTAAAAAACTGTAGTAGTCAAAAAGTAGTCATTTTTGACACATCTCTGACAAAAATGTTTTGTGATTTCTTGTAAACATTGTGTGGAGGTAGAGGGGAGGGATATGTATGTAAATAAGGCATATTTTAGTGACAGTGGTGATTGGCTTTTTATATCTCAAAAATATGAATCTATTATTTGTCATCACTTTGGAAAGTAGTATTTAAACCCAGAAAGACACTTTTATATATTCATCAGAAATAGAGTTGGGTGCCCAGGTCATGAATAGAAATCACAACCGAATGTTAAGACTGTTTTCATCTGAGAGACCACTACTATTAACCTCAAGATGAGCACCACCCAGCCTTCCTATTTGTGTGGGTGTATGCTCATACTGGGATAGGGAGTTGCCTCCTTGGAGTCAAAAAGGGAAGACAGGCTGTAATGTGGCTCTCTCCTACTCCCTAGATAAACCGGACATTCTAAAGCTAGCTTTGCAAATAAGTAAGAACCCTGATCTTGGTTTATTGTAATGAGGAATGATACTATATGATTTTTTCAGTTTGTTTCCACCCACAACCTTTCTTTCTGTTCTTTTTTTTCCAAACAGGCTAATCGCCCTCCTGCAAAGCTTAACCTATTAACTTGTCAAGTGAAGACCAACCCTGAGGAGAAAAAGTGTTTTGACCTTATTTCACGTAGGTTTCTTTCTGAGATGCTGTGCTATAGAGAAATTATATAAACTCTCCTAGGCATCAATCCCATTTCAAATAGTACATTTTGAAGAGTGAATGTTTGAGAAGATAGATGTTTATCTTTTCACATGACACATAAACCTTCATTTCCACTAGTAATTGTTTACTTGCAATCATCAGTTTAAGGTTTGACTTTGAGAATCAGCCATATTCCTAATTGACTGTAAACTCAAATGCACTATCTCAACTCTTCAGTTTTCCCATTTGTGAACAAGTAGATTATAGTACTAGTTCAAGCCTATAAAATCCTTTCTGCTTAAAAAAAAAAAAAGCAAGACTCTATGTTTCCATACAATAAGAATCACCTGGGGATCTTGTTAAAATGTAAGTTCTGATTCCGAATGTCTAGGGTGGAATGCAAATTCTCAGCAAGGGGTTAAGCGAGAATAAAGCAGTTCAAAGCTCTACTGTTTTGCACACCATATGCAGTTAAATGCAAGCACTTCCCATTACCTCTAGCAGCCACATCTGGGGACACCCTGAATTAGACACCACATGTGCTGAAGCATTTTTTTTTTTCTCAGATGTGTTAACAACTTCAGAAATTTACCCAGCCTACACATTTTTTTTTTTTTTTTCTGATTTATTTTAGTTTTTTGTTGTTACAGTTGAGACTATGCACAGGAGAACATTCACCAATTCAGCAGTTTCTAGCTGTACAATTTAGTGACATTGATTACGTACTTTAAGTTGTGCATCCATTCTCACCCTCCCTTTCCAAATTGCGCCCCCCGCCCCCAGCAAGATGGATTGACAAAGAGACAGCATCGATGGACCCAAGCGTGGCAACAGTAGTGAGGTTGGCCCAGGATCGGGCAATGTTTCGTTCTGCTGTGCATAAGGTTGCTATAAGTTGGTACTGACTCAATGGTACCTAACAACAACATTAACATTAACCCACTACCCCCTACATTTTCTATCCAATCTATGAGTTGCTGTTGTCAATTTGATCCTGTGCAGTGCTCATGGCAGACGGTTTAGTTGAAACTATTACTCAATTTTAAGGTGACTTCAGGGGATATTTTTAGTGTAAGATTTAAAGAATATCTCAGGGCAATAGTTGTAAGGTTTCATCCAGCTTCAATGGCTCCAGAAAGCCTAGATTTCCTGGGAATTTAAAATTCGGTTCTTCGTTTTCTTCCTTTTGATCAGGATTCTTCTATAGACTGTTTGATCAAAAAGCTTAATAATGGTAGTGGATCCCCAGCCTTCACATTTTTAACAATGTGTCAGTCACCAAAGGGGTAAGTAGACGTTGTTGTTAGGTGCCTTTGAGTCAGCTTCTACTCATGATGATCCTTCACACAACAGAACAAAGCACTGTCCAGTCCTGCACTATCCTCACGGTTGTTGTTACACTTGAGCCCATTGCTGCTGCGACTGTGCCCATTCATCTCATTGAGGGTCTTCCTCTTTTTAGCTGTCCCTCCACTTCATCAAGCACGATGTCCTTTTCCAGGGACTGGTTCCTCCTGATAACATGCCCAAAGTATGAGAGACAAAGTCTCATCATCCTGGCTTCTAAGAAACATAATTAGAGTTTTCTTATCAACCGAATATTATTTATCACATCACTTAAATGTGTGAAAGAATGGTCCTATGTAAATTTGGTTATAGGTAAGTACTGGGGCTGACTTTATCCAAAATCCTATTTATGTCTAAAGCATAAAATAAATAACCTTTAGATAAGATCTTTTAGCCTGTGATATTCAGAATGACCTCATAAAATCCATTTTTAGGCCCTGTGGTACATTTGCCCAAGTTTGTTATCATCTTTGAAGCGTGCCCTTATCTTTCCTCCTTCCTTGTCCCTCAGTGAGTAAAATAAATCCCAGTCCTACAAATTTCTCCCCTCAGCTAGCTTTTGAAAGTGTTACTTCCCTAGGAGTATTTATTGTAAAAATGCTTTGTTGCAGTGTTGCTTTGTTGCAGTGTTATATAAGTTAGAGTTTTGTTGTTGTGTGCCATAACAGTCCATTGCTTATCCTACAGCACCACACTGTGACGAATTTTGTAGGGGGACTCTTAAAAACCTGTCAGATGCCCCAAAGAATCTTGAAAGGAGACATTACCTAGTGATGAAAGCCCCAGTGGGATGAGCATCCTGAGATTTAGGGGACTTGTGTTCTGGATCAGATTCTGCCTGACTCCTGAGAAAATTTCTGTACCTGTTCTAGTAGGTAGATTCTTCCTCTGCCTACCGATCTGGGTAGTAGAACCAGTGATTACCAAGATCTCTTCAAGTTCTTGAAATGTTTCTTATGAGTTTAGAGAATAAAACTCAATCTACACAATAGACAGGAAGATGTTTTAGGTATGGACCCACTAGGCATCCCAGGAACAGCTATCCCTTCTAATCTTTACTTTGTAAAACCATCCCTGGAATCTGCCTAGAGATCCTCGAAGAGTAACAGGCAGATCCGTTGACTTCAGATATTGCCCTGTAAGATCCTTATTTTTTCCATTCTGATCCAATAAGATGATCTTAATTAGGATGTTTCCAAAGGCTCCAGAGTTTCTATGGCAAGGCCAGAACTTCTAGGTGCTTAGCTAATTCTCATGCCCTCAGACTGGCCCTACCCTTTACAAATTCAAGTCCTGAGCCATTATCCTAGAATCACACAATCATCATTGGTGGAATGGAGTACATGGGAATGATCTAGGTGGTGGTTGTTGTGTGCCATTGAGTCGGGTCCGACTCATAGCGATCCTAGTACAGGGTTTCTGAGGAATGGCTGGTGGATTTGAACTTCCAACTTTGCGGCTCAAGCTGATCTTGCAGTCCAGTGCTTATCCTACTTAGTGCCCTGTATAAGATGGGGCCAGGGGGAGTGGCTGTCCCAAATCCACACAATCAGTTAGTGACCAATTTGGAGCCACAGCCTTGATCTCAGAGGAGCAGCCTTTCCCAAGCCATCATTACTTTAGTGGCCCTGATCATCTCTACTGTCTCCTTGTGTTTTTACTCTCCCTTATAGTTGAAAGTCCACTTGGACTCCTGCAATGGCCCTAGTAGGATCAACACTGGACTAAGAACTCCAAGGTCAGCAGTTCAAACCCACCAGCTACTCCTCAGAAACCTTGTATAGGTCGCTGTGAGTTGGAACTGACACATTTGCACTTAACAACAACATAGTTGAAACTGGAGTCCTGGTGTAGTGTAAGATAAGCACTGGCAATTCAGACCTACCAGATGCTCCTCAGAAACCCTGTAGAGGGTCACTAGGAGTCAGAAGCAAATGCACAGCACTGGCTAGAAACATCTTTTATTAATAGGTATCTTGCAAGTTTTTAATGCAGGAAGTTTTTGAGTTTTTTTGAGTTTTTGTTGTGAATTGAATGATAGTTTACATGGGAGAACATCAGTTTTACACTCAGTTTCATTGCAATGATTACAGTCTTAATGGAGAAAGTTTCAATCTGAAAGTTTTCACAGAGGCTTGCTTATCCCTTGCTTCTGTAATGTTCATATGTTAGAATACAGAATTAGCCAAAGGACATGACTTAACTTCCCCTGTCTCCTTGATTTTTCCACTTGAACTGTGCTTGATCTGACCATGAAGTAACTCCGTGTTAGATATAGACCTCTGGCTCTATTTCCCATCACCACTATTTTCAAAGTACTATATAATTCACTTAGTAAACCTTCCAGACAGGCGAGGAGCACAGAGAGCAGGTAAGATGTTGTTGTTAAATACTGTGGAGTCGGTTTTGACTCATAGTGACCCTGCACAGGGTTTCTGAGGCTGTAAATCTTTACGGGAGCAGACAGCCTCATCTTTCTCCCGCAGAGTAGCTGGTAGTTTCGAACTGCTGACCTTGAGGTTAGCCAGATTCGTAGCCACTACACTACCAGAGCTCCGTAGGTAAGATGTAGCTGCTCCCAAATCCAGATGAGGCAGGTCAGTACTTTGGAGCTGGAGGAAATGGTGTTGCTCCTCTTTCTTCAAACACTAGGGAGAAATTTCTTTGGATGTTATATTTGGTTCAGTCACTCACATTTGGATCACAAAACTAAATTCATTTCTCTGAACTTGAAATAGTTCTTTTAAATCCTGCTTCTGTCTTCAATAACAGGGAGAGAATATAGTTTTATACCCCTAGTATTTAAAAAAACAGAAAAATGAGAGGTGGCTAGTGAAAAGAATATTAACACAAAGAGTCAAAAGAACCATGTTTCTACCACTGACTACATTTCATTTTTGTCACTTGGGCCTCAACCTTCTCCCAGTCAACTCACCAAAAATTGATCAAAACATCAAAGTGCTTCCAGATGTGTAAGACCCACTGTTGGAGGAGGGTATGTTAGCTCAGTTTTAGGGATACAAATACTTGTTGAGTGTCCCCCAAAACAGAGTTACTGTTTTTCATTTGATCTCCTCCCTCTTTTGATGTCTTTTAAATTTAATAAACTTTTTTCATCTTTTATTTTGAGCTGATTTTAGATTTACAGAAAAGTTGTAAAACAGTCTTTAGATATCCCTCACCTGTTGTTGTTGTCAAGTGCTGTCAAGTCAGTTCTGACCCATAGTGACCCTGTATAGGGTTTCCAAGGAGTGTCTGGTGAGCTTGAACCGCTGACTTTGTGATTCAAATTGACTTTGCAATCTAGCACATTAATCCACAGCACCACACCAGGACTCCACCCCTCACTTGTCATTGTTGATGTTAAAGTGCCGTCCAGTTGATTCTAACCCATAGTGAACCTGTATAAGGTTTCCAAGGAGCAGCTGGTGAGCTTGAACCACTGACCTTGCAGTTCAAATGACTTTGCAGTGTGACTGACACATTAACCCACAGTGCCACACCACTTATCATCCTCTAATTGTTAACGTCCTAGTACAATGATCCCTGATACACAGTACGTATTATCAGCCAATGATTGAAGCTAGGGATTTGACATTGCTTCAATGCTACTCATTTCATCAGTCTTTCCACCAGTGTTCTTTTTCCATTCCAAGAGTCTCCCCAGAATTGCCTGCACAGTGCATTTCATTTTTAGTTCATCTTAGATTCCTGCAGTCTCTAAAGGTTCTTTGTTAGATTTTCTTTGTCTTTCATGACCTTGATACTTTTTGAAGAGTGTTGATTAGTTATTATGTCAAATATCTCTCAGTTTTGGTTTCTCTGTTGTTCTCTTATGATTATACTGAGGCTCTACATTTTGGTGCCACAGAAATGACACTTTGTCTTCAGGACCTTACATAACATTCTCTCCGCTTGCTCATGTTCATACAGGAGCTCAGCATTCTGGCTCACACTTGTAAAACGTTGTTGATGCCAGCTGTATATGAATGTAAGACTTCTAGTCCATCATTATTTAACAATAGTCTGTTGCTTTTAACTATATTTTAAATACAGGACTTCCCTAGAACGTTATTCTTAGAATTTCTTTACTGTTTTTTTCTAAGAAAACCAGAAGCCTTCTAAGATATTTGCTTTAGAAAAGGCTTTTATTGTTGAAAGGGTTAGACAGTTTTCTTTGGAGGGGCCAACTCTGCAGCAAGTTAAAAAAAATAATAAAATAAGGCTTTTGAAAGGCTAGTTGATGGTTTTTATTGAGTGGGTTCAGTTTTGGAAGCTACAGCTTTTTATACTTGAGTGGTGGAATAGGAAAGCTTTATTAATTTGCATTACAAAACTACAATTACTGAGCCAAGGTAGACATTTGAAGGGCCTGAGCGAGTGCTTGATTTTATACAAATCATTTATTTCCTAGCAGAGAGCTAAGATTATTCCTGGGGTTAATTATAAACCAATTTCTTTTGGAATTGTGTACGAATTGCTGTCTGGGCTCACAATTGATGAGATTCCTCTTGTCATTTAGATGACAGAACATACCATTTTCAAGCAGAAGATGAGCAGGAATGTCAAATGTAAGTTATTTGGAGGTGGGATTCTAGACGACGACTGAACGGTTATTCTTGAGATTTAAAACAACTTTGCCTTTGTTTTTCTAGTTGGATGTCTGTGCTGCAAAACAGCAAAGAGGAAGCTTTAAACAATGCATTTAAAGGCGATGACAACACTGGAGAAAATAACATCGTCCAGGAACTGACAAAAGAGATCATTTCTGAAGTCCAGAGGATGACTGGCAACGATGTGTGCTGCGACTGTGGAGCACCAGGTGACCCAGGACAACCCAGCCTCTAGCATGTTTAAATCCCATTCCAGTTCCAAGTCCTAGAGTTTAGTCATTGATTTTCACTTCCAGTTCCAACAGAAAATTAAGTGCAGCTCAGTCTGATCTCATCCCATTACACAAATGCTTAATGAACTGTGTGTGCAGACTGCTTTGGGGGGAAAGGGGTGGGAAGATAGATGCCTGCGGGGCCCTCAGAACAGAACACAGTGAAGATGGCTTGATGTAATTTAAAAGATTATAAATCCTTTTGAGAAATGAAAACTGAAAAACACAGTGAGGGTAAAATCAAGGTCATCAAGTCATTGTATTGGCTGAATGGCTGCATATGGATTTTTCTGCCCCTGGTTTTACTCCATCCTCATTTTGTATTACTTTGTTGTTGTTGTTGTTAAATGCTGTC